TGCTTATGGTTTTTAAAGTCTGTTTTGTAGTTTTTTCTTCACAGGCCTGCTAGCTTTTTCCTTTAATTATCTGCACATTGTTATTTTTTGGCCAGGAAGTGCATTCCACCTTGAAATGTTTAACTTCCAAAGAAGCTTCTCTCTTTTTAGTTTCATTGACTTGGTGATATTTTCTATTCCAACTATAATCTTCCCCAATAAACAGTGTGGAGCGTTACCTCTTAGCCAACCATATCTTCATCTTCACAATCATCTCCTGTCTTTTTATCAGTCTTTTAGGTACCAAGCCATTCTTATTTCCTCTCTTAGCTAACGGTTTGGGAGCTGTAGCCCAAAAAACTCGAACATTAATTTTGGCAAACCTAGTCTTGTGTTGCCAGTGAGCAGTTTTCCAGATGTGTTTATTTGCCTTGGCATTTGGGTCTGAATCTTGGATAGTTCTGGCTCCATAGATCATGTTGACTACTTAGTAGGCATCCTAGAATCACGGATATTGCTAAGATAATTGGTAGAATTTAATCATAATTTGTGAGGTGATATGCTCCATGGATCTTACTTTTAACTCATGATATGTCTGTTTCAGTACAATATGAAATCTTTGTTTTCTCTTTCATACGCATAAAAATTTCTTGCTGAGAAGCAAGCAAAAATGCTGATTCAATTATATTTTATTCAGCTACTACACATTTTCAGTTATTTTATGGTGTTCATGTCTTTAACAAGGTTAAATGTTGTCTGGAAACTATGGTAACTTACCACCCTTATCAAATGACAAAACTAGTTAACTTAGTGGGGAAAGTGAACGACTGAATTGTAAAACACAGATGCATTTTAAGCTTATGCATAAGCAGATACAGCTGTGTTCTGTGAAGTTTATTCCTGAATAAGCGTGCAGTATCTAACAGCCTTACTAAATTACCCTAAGCAATTCAATTCTGTCTCCAACATTATAACTGCATGCAAATATTACAAAGTATCCAAGTTATGCAGCTTAATGAGAACATTATCAACATATAGGATCATTCCACAGCCTTTTCAGCCTAATATCAAGCCAAGCTATAGAATATTTATATCCCTTTGTACCTTAGAGAACCCAACTATCTGTAATAGAATTTCAATCTATCTCTCTCATAGGTGCCCTTTTAGAGATGACCCTTTAGCTGTCACATTGTACTGTATGGCTTACTTTGCCTCACTAAGTTTGCAATAAAAATTACCTAGCCCTCCTGAGGTGTCACTATAATTATAATTTAATGACAAATTCAAAGGCATCCGTTCATATTGTGTGGAAGAAGACAATGGTAAACCACTTTTGTATTTTTACTGAAAGCCCACATGGATAGAAAATATAAAATGATTAACGATGTAGTGCCAGATGATGGGTCCTTCAGATCAGATAGCACTCAATATGCTACTGAGGAAGAGCTGAGAATATTTCAGAATACTAATGGCATTTATGACCTGGTTAAATTAATGCCTTCAGGATATCTAGTTGCTGATGTTGACATGCAAGCACAGAAGGATCTGAAGGTGCTAAGACATAATTAGAGTGGAATTAGAACATGGAATGTAAGAAACATAAACATTGAAAAGCTTAACCGTGAAAGATGAAATAAATTGACTAAACATTGACATCAGTAAATTGAGATAACAGGAATTAGACATTTTCAGTCAGAAGATCACACGATTTACTATGCAGGACATGAAAAACAAAAAAAAAGATACACCATTGCTTTCATAGTAGGGAAGAGTAAAGCAAGAACAATACTTGGCTATAAGGCAATCAATAATCAAATAACATTAATTATACTTTGCAGACAACCCTTAAATTTGATGATTTCTAAGATTATGTTCCAATCACTCATGCATAACAAGAGGCATTTGATGAGTTTTATGATCAAGTTAAATTTGAAATTGTCAGAACATACAAGCAAAATTGCTATTGGTGGTTAGAGACTGGAATGCCAAAATTTTAGGGAGAAAAATAAAGCTGTCCTATGATATTGGTTCTCAACCTGTGGTCCACAGACCCCACCATGAAGTCACAGGGGGACTCCAAAGGCTTGAAGAAGTATTACTATTTACATCTTGAGTTGAGTCTTCAGGCTCTGTGAGCATGTTCTGTGGTGACAAAAGATATTTAAATGGTGCCTATGGTGAAGAAAAGGTTGAGAACCACTGACCTAGAACATTGAATGACCCAAGAGAATAACTACTAATGTCTGCCAAGCCAATTATGTCTTGCAATACAGGCTTCAAACAACCAGCATAATGGTTGTATAAATGGCTTTCACCAGATGAGTATACTGGAATCAAATTTGCTTTGGTAGAAAGAGTCAGGTCAATTATAACAGCAAAGACACAGCCAATCCTATTGTAGCATTGCTATGAACACTTTTATGCCTTTCAGTTCATCAAACTTTGATCTTCAGGTAGTCTTCACTTAACTACAGTAATTGGAATTGTAACTTCTGTCACTAAGTGACACAATCATAAATATCAAGCAATATCAAGTAACAGGACCAAATAGCAACAGCAATTCCAGCACTTCCAGTTGCCATCATTAAGCGAATCCCATGATATTCTTAAGTGTGACATCATGTGCACAACATCCTTAAGAACCGTGGTGGCACAGTAGTTAGAGTGCAGTACTGCAGGCTACTTCTGCTGATCACTACCTGCCAGCAGTTTGGCAGTTCGAATCTCACCAGACTCAAGGTTGACTCGCCTTCCATCGTTCTGAGGTGAGTAAAATGAGGACCCAGATTGTTGGGGGCAATATGTTGACTCTGTAAACTGCTTAGAAAGAGCTCTAAAACACTGTGAAGCGGTATATAAGTCTGTGCTATTGCTGTTCTCCCAGCTTCGCCATTGTCTTTGCTTGTCAGAAACTGGCAGTGGAGGTAGCAAATGACAACCACATGATTGTGGGATGCAGCAATGACATAATGGGGGCCGATCAGTGGTGGGTTGCAAATCCCATTGCAACCGGATGATTGGAATGAGGCCGGTGGCGTCCTCATGGACGCGCGCAGCACGCGCATGCATTCAAGTGCCTCTGCAATGCTCCGTGATGCTCCAGCTGCTCCACTGCAGGCACTGTACACACCATGCACCTGTGCGGAAGTGCAGAAGCCTTTAAACTCCAGTAAGGAGGTTGGGCGGGCGGCTGGGCACTCCAGAGCACCATACTGGAACAGTATCTGGTGCTCCGGGATGGCTCCGGGGCATACCGCCTGCAACCCACCACTGGAGCCGATCAACAAGCACATGCATTGTGTTCATGTAACCTCAGGGACACTGCAAGGGCTACAACTATAAAAAGTGGTAATAAGTATCACACATTTTCAATACTCTCACAAGTTCTAATGATCACTGAAGCAAACGGTTGACTGCTCAAATATGAGCAGCATCTAAAACTACAACAACTATGAATGCACCAGCCTGAATATGGATGCACTAGTCACACATTAGCTGAATTTTGGATTGCATTAAACGCAACCTAGTATCAGTACACAATTATACTGAGATATACCATTAACTAATCACAATAAAGGATGCCAATGAACAGATAATAACTGTTGTAAAGAAGATCAAAGATGTCTCCATGTTAGCAAAGGAGTAATACAATACTTTACTTCTGATGCTTATTCAACCTATATGTGGAATATATATATTGAACTAAATTAGATTGGGGAAATATGCATATTTTAAAAATTGGACAAGGAACATTAATAATGTGCACTATGCCAGTTAAAATACTTTTGTATCAAATTCCAGCATGATGTGGTAATGAAAGTCAAGGAGCATGGTGAAAGCATGGGACTAAGATTGAATACAAAGACCAAGATAATTTTGACAAGTACCACAGCAAGCCTTAGAACTTAAAATGAAGATAAAATGGTGGATAGTTTCTGACTTTTAGAATCAACCATTAATGTTTAAAAAAACAGCAGTCAAGAAACACACTGTAGACTAGCAATTGATAGAAAAACCATGAAGGCCTTGAAGAGATATTTAAAGACCATGAAGTGTCCACACCTACAAAGATCAGAATCATGCAAGCCAGGATATTAGTTGTGTCACTCTATGGAAGTGAGAGCTGAATTTTGAAGAACCAACAGAAGAGTATTGTTGTTTTTGGCCTTTAATGTTAAAGAAAACTCTTGAGAATATCATGGATTTCCAAGAAAACAAACACATGAATCATTAAATAAATGACTCTATTTTGGACATACTACGTGAAAGCCTAACTCTCTAGAGGACTCTTTAGTCCTGAAATTGAAAGGAAAAAGAAGAGGNAGGTAGGTAGGTAGGTAGGTAGAGATAAATTAATGATAGATAAATGGATAGATAGATAGATAGATAGATAGATAGATAGATAGATAGATAGATAGATAGTAGATAGGTAGGTAGGTAGGTAGGTAGGTAGGTAGAGGGAGAGGGAGAGGGAGAGGGAGAGGGAGAGAGGGAGGGAGGGAGGGAGAGGTGGAGCCTGGGTTGTTCGTCAGCTCTCAGATAGAAAGTCAACAGCCCCCAGGTCTGGAGGTGGCTGATGAGGAAGAGGAGGAACAGTTGGGTCCAGTGCCTGACACGCGAATGCACAGAAGGCAGAGGAGAGGAGAACAGTGGAAATCTATGGGCCGGTCCTTGGGATGGAAGAGCCACTGCTGATAGCAAGGCCCCACCCTAGCTCTGGGGATAAAAGGCAGGGGACGGAGATGAATAGATGTGGCAGACAACCATTCATCTTCTGGCTGGACAGACTTCTTAGCCTGCGAGAGGAACTTTTTGCTGAGGCTGCCAGCATTCCTAATAAAGGAATCTTTTGAATTCATGTCAGAAGGTTCGTCATGTTTGGGGAGCTGGGTCAGAACATCATCCTAGCAGAAGACAATGTTGGACCACTTCCATATAGTTGTTAAGAAGGTTTGATGAAGCTAGCTAGGTCATCATTAGGATTTGTACTCACCTGCAAAGAGATTTTACCTTTTACTTACCAAGGACTCTTACAGTTAAAGTATAGATGCCCAGGGCAAAAGATTTCAGCTGAGGATTAATACATCTGAAATATATAAAACAGAAGACGCATATAAAGTATGCAAAAGGAAACTCTGAAAGCACGGGAAACGATTTGAGACAAAATGCTTTGGACTGAAGAAAGAAAAAAATTAAAGCATTTAGCCCAGGACCTACAGAGACAAAAAGGAGAACTTTGAAGAAATAAAAACAGCGTGTCAAATTTTACACACAGGGGTAGCTCTACTACTATGTGTTGGGATTGTGTTACAGCTAAAGTGACCAGATTTTAAGATGGGTAAAGCGGGACACCATTGACTGGGGGTGGGGGCTCGGAGCACCTGAGCTGTAAAAAAAAAAGCCTTCCCCCAACGCCCCCCAACCCTTTCAAAAGCCACCCCCATCGCCAGCCTCTCCCTCGGATCCTCCCTGGATCCTCGCCTGCCTCCCCTCGGCTCACCTGGACCAGGTTGCTGACGGTGGCTTCCACAGCATGGCTGCAGGGAGAGCGGCGCCCGAGAGAAGCGGGCAAAAAACCCCACCCTTCCGACAGCTGAGCCGCTTGGCCCGGGACCGAGCCTCCTCCTTGCTGCGCTGCTGCTGCCGGAAAGCCCTCCCTGCCTGAGGCCGCCGCCGGCTGTCGCAAAAACATCACGCGTCCGCGCGTGCACGCGCAGGGGGGGAGGGAGCCTCGCCCCTCGTCGGGCACTTCGAGCAAGCTGAGCGGAGGGAGGGAAACCACTGCCCTCTAAAGGCCACATCAGGAACGACACTTCAGAGAAATAAAAACTGTTTTTTTAACGGCGTCCTTTTTAAAATTGATGATTCGGCGTCTTTTCTTTCTTTTGGAAATTCGGGAGTTTTTGAACACGCTGCGGGACACGGGACAAATTTTGAAAAATCGTACTGTCCCGCCAAAAGCGGGAGTCTGGTCATCTTAGTTACACCCAATGGCACAGAAACCTTTGTGCTTGATAGAAGGAAAAAATGGAAATAAAGAGAAATGATGGCAGGAAAAGACCCCTGGTCCATCCAGTTTGTTCTTTGAGTTTTTCTTTTTTTTCTTTTTAATTAATTAATTTTAATTACTATTTATTCATTTTTAACTTTATTTGTTTTTTAAATTATTGTCAGTTGATAGACATGTTTATCCCAAGCATGTTTAAACTCAGTTACTGGTGATATTCAGTTACTGTGGATGGTTTCAGCTAAAAATGGACTCAATTAAATATCAACAGATAGCAAAAATATCAGCAGATGATAAAAGTTGACTGAGTGAAGGAACTAAAACTGAAAGGAACATGGCTATTAACGGCAAGAGAACAGTCAGTCTGAAACTTTAGAGAGTCTCAGACTTTGGAAAAACTATGGAAATACGTTCACAAACATGCTTTTAATATTAGGACTTCCAGAGAGTTTGTAAAGCTGCCAGATTCTGCAGTTTTTTTTCTTTCTTTCTTAAGAAATTATTCAACTGAAAGGATTGCTTCCAAAATCCAGAGGTTTAAAAGTCACGTCATTGTAATGCCATCCAATTCATTGTAGGGTCTGCAACTAAGTGGAAAGAATTGTACAATAGATTTAGATAGGGCAGGGGTATCAAATTCAAGGCCTGTGGGCCGGATCCAGCCCTTGGCTCGCCGAGCCGCCCTGAAAACTGAAGAACCGGCCCTTGGTGTCTCTGCTAGTGAAAACGGGCTCCTGAGCTCCGTTTTCAGCTGCGATGGCCTCCTGCAACCATCTGCCAGTGAAAACAGAGCCCCGTTTTCACTGGCAGACGGTTGCAGCTGAAAACGGGACTCAGGAGCCCGTTTTCGGTGGCAGAGCCCTTGGGCCACCACAGGCGGCAACACAAGTGATGTTAAGCTGGCCAAGCCTCCCTGGACACACAACCAACTCCGCCCAAGATCAAACACAGCCCTGATGCAGCTATCAAAGAAATGGAGTTTGTCACCCCTGAGGTTAGGGTGAAGCATTGAACCTGTTGAAGGGAATTTCAATGAATCAAAGGGTTCATGTTTGCAATTTGAGCAAAGAGTTACCAGTCCAGATTTATCTGTACAGAGGCTTGTATTCTGTAAGATTAACAGGATGCATGGATTCCTAACTATATGAGATTTGTATGCACGCCATGGTACCTGTGTTACCCAAGAGAAAGCATTTCATCCACTTGAAAAAAGCAGAGTTGCTGATATTAGAATATGACTGCCACCTGTTGGATGCTTAAAGAATTACTCCTGCGATTAAATGAGTGTGGATTTTGTTTAAAACTACATCTAATTCTCAGAAATATTTTAGAACAAACTGTGATCAGGTGGTATTTTAGCCCTTTTAAATCCCTTCACTTCAGGTGGTGCAGTGGTTAGGGTGCAGTACTGCAGGCCACTTCAGCTGACTGTGATCTGCAGTTCAGCGGTTCTA